TCTCTTGTAGAACTAGTTTTTTCTTTCTTTCTTTTGTTTTTTCACTTTCTCAACTGATTTATGTGTTGAAATATGCTACACAGTTGCTGTCCATATTAAGTGTAAACCAAACCTAGGCAAGCCTATAATAAAGCTTACTATAATGTCAAATAATATAATTACAAGAAAATAACAGAAAACCTGATAAATAGGTTAACACATAAAACAATATATCTATATAATCTTTAATCTTATTCTTTTACGTTAATATATAAAAATATTAGTTTTTAATATTAACATCAGTACATTTAACTACTTTAATTACGTTAAACTCATTATTATGAAATATTTAAATATTATACTATAATTTATAGATAAAATGTATAATAACATTTAATGTTAACATTATAATTATATAATTATAAGAGGAACATTAACATTTAAAGGTAATATAGCCTTAACATTCACATCATGACTTTTAAATGGTTAATTTTCATTATAAATATTTTTATTATTATTATTATACATTTATTTTTATTTTTTTAAATCATTAATTTTCATTCAAAATATACGTAATTTGTCTAACATAAACTTTTACATATTTACATTAATATTGTAATAATATTTATTTCAACTTTATGAATTTTTATGTTTGTTTTTATGAATTTACGTTAAGATTTTTAAAAAGTTACTTTTCGTTATAAGTATTTTTATGCTTATTATTATACATTTATATTAATATTTATAAATAATTAATTTTCATTAAAAATAGGTTTATTTGTCTAACATGAACTATTACACTAACCCTTCCACATTTACCTCAATGTTTTAATTATGCTTATTTTAACTTTATTAAGTTTTGCGTTTATTCTTTTAAATTTACGTCAAAATTTTTAAAAGTTAAATTTTCATTACAAATATTTTTATTCTTATTATTGTACATTTACGTTAACATTTGTAAATGGTTAATTTTCACTAAAACTATGTTTACTTTGTCTAATATGATTTATTACGATAACTCTTATACATTTAATTGATATTTTAATAATCTTTTATTTCAACTTTATGAGTTTTTACTTTCATTCTTATATATTTACATTAATATTCTTAAAAGGTTAATTTTTATTATAAGTGTTTTAAGTCTAAATATCTAAATAAGCTCTCAAATTATATCAAAAAAGTTAATTTAGCTCATATCTTTTTATTGTATTTAAATAAATTCTTGAATTTTTATTTTGAATCAAATAAACTTCTCTTACTAATAGTTGACTAACTTCATTATTTAACGGTACAGTCAGTAATTGTTGATGTTATATCATATTTCACGTGAGATGTTGATGTGTCATCCTAATAACATCAATGTGACGTAACAAATGCCCTAACATTAAAATTTATTGACTCAAAATTGAGTTTTTTTTCTTTTCAAATATTCAAAAATTATTGTTTAGGGATTTAAAACAAAAAATAAAAAAAAATTTAATTGTTTTAAATTGATTATCATTGTTTCTTAACTAATCGTCTTCTTAATTGAAGTCTTTTTCTCTAATAAAAAAAACTTAATCTAACTTCTTCAAATTGATTGAAGCTATTGTTGCTTAACAAAAACTTAGTGTAAAAAAATCCAAGAATACCTAGAAATGATTTTGAGAAGAGGAAGAGTAAAGGTACGACATATAAAGTTTATAATACTAAAATTAATAAGACATACAATGCTGTTCCATAATAAAAAAAATAAAAGAAATTCAAATATTTCTTTTCGCTTCCCAAAAATCTGTAAGAGAAATCTAATGCTCTTTTATTCCCTATAATCTATAAGAGAAATATGATAGTATTGAATTTTATTTCCTATCAACCATAGATTCTCTCTCCACATTTTTCATAATTTTTGAAAATTTAAGATTAACTCAAAAATGATTTTTAGAAGAAGAATAGGAATTGTAGATAGGGAGAGGACATTTTAACTATAAGGTATGTTGGATTTAAGGAATGTTGAAGAAAATGAAGGTTTTTTTTTTGTTAAGAAGAATGGCTTCAATTAAGAATATGGTGATCTATTAAGAAATAATGATAATCAGTTTAAAGCAATTAGATTTTTTTTTTTAAAAAAAATTGTTTCAAATCCTTATAACCAATAATTTTTAAACATTTGAATGAGTAAAAAGGAAAAAAATTTAATTCTTAATCAACAATTTTTTATACCACATTGTCTACCACATAGCATTGACATCATTAAGATGACACATAAATATAAAAAATTATTGATTATACCGTTACCGTTGACTATCTTTTGTTAGTCAATGATTAATGTGAGGAACTTATTTGATCTAAAATAAAAATTTAGAAATTTATTTGAATGTAATAAAAAAATAAAAGCTAAATTAACTTTCTTGGTATAGTTTAGAGATTTATTTATGTATTTAGTTGTGTTTTTATTTTTATTTTTTGGTATACAAGAACTAGATGACTTGGTTAGTGCCTCAAAGTGGAAGGACGATACATATCATTCCTAAGCAAAAACACAATTATTCAGGAGGATTTATCAATCTTGAGATGCCCAGAGGACAACTTTGTACCAAATTTGTCGAGAAATCTGCACATTGATTCCCTTCGCGACATATACGTCTAACTTCTGTAACCCACCCTTCTTGGATCAGCAAAATACAATCTTGAATCAATGGGCCATGAGGATGAGAAGATCCAACCCATGTAATGAGAAATTGAACAAATAACACATCAACTTCCAAGACCAGCGAACTAATTTGTAAACTCCTTGCTAAAAATAACCCTCATGGATGCCTTATAATTTGGCTATCAAACTATCCATATTTCTAATATTAAAAACAAAACCTCTCACCCATTCACTATTGGAGTTACGGATAAACCTCCTTCAAAAGCACGTTTTAAGCCAACTTTATAAGCCCCATCTATATTCAATAAAAAGCTTTCTAAAGCAGGCAACTACCACTTAATCCACTTCGGTGTCTTGTGTGTTGCTTGTTTAGAACCCAAAACTTCCATAATTTCTTTAGATGCCATTCGAGCCTTTCTTCAAACAACTTCTGAGCATTTCGTAAAACTATCAAAAACCCATCTATTCCAACTTTTTCAAATTTCCCACAATATCATCACAAATATAGAGCTCCATACACAATTATCAATAAATTTAATCTACAACACTCCAAATCATAATTGTAAAAGTTATGCAAATCACGTATTAGTTGTAGCTAGTAGTCTTATATTTCCTCCCAAAGAGACAATCACAAAATAAGTGTAAAGTAGATTCATCTGCCAATTGGCACCAATCACAAAAAAACTGAATCAACCATTCCTTTCTTCATTCGCTACACATTTATATGTAGATGATCTTGAAACAACATCTAAATGGAAAACTTCATTCTTTCACTACAAAACAGCTACCACACCCACATGTAAACCTCACATTCTATATCAACTAATCAATGAGTTTTTAACAACCTATAGGCCAACCCAATAGTGTACCCACCATTACTCTCTCCAACCCAATATAGCCAATCCCCCTGTTATGAAGTTAGCAGAATTGGTTCTGCTTTAATTTGCAAGATGACATAAGATTAGATTATACTTGATTTTGTGATATTTTGACATTTAACACAATTTACAAGAAAAACACATTTAATTTGCCTTCATTGTTTTTCTTATGTGTTAAGCATTATCATGACCACCGTTTTTGCTTTAACATTGCTCACAAATGAAATGCTGAAAGCCATATTTGGGGATCGAGCTATGAGAAAGGCACTGCAAATTGCGTTCCTTGAAATACGACACAAGCTATGCTCTTGGCATCTAGCTAGTAATGTCCAAGCAAATGTCTCAAAATATGAATTTGTTTCAAAATTTCAAACCTTGCATGAAATCTTGATGGACAATTGATAAGTTTGAAAGAGATTGGAAAGAGATGGTAAACAAGTTTGCTTTACAAGGAAACATAAAAAAAACATATGTGAACCTAAGCCAATGGAATTAAAAAATATTCGAAATAATGAGAT